CAACCTACTTTGAATTCTTATTTCAGAAATGTTCAATGGCAGGGTCTGATTTTGTATTCTAATTATCTAAAGCTTAAATATGTGTTTTAAGTATAATTATCTTACTTGATTAATCAAGTGTTTTAAAATAATTTTACACAAGGCAAGAGGGACAGAAGAAAACCACACATAACCTACATAGTGAGCTTGAATAAATGGACGTTGGGGAAGGTTTAGGAGAGATAACAAGAAGACAAAATTTATTAAGAGTTACAAAAGATAGGAAATTATGGAGAGCACTGATTGCTAAGGTCCTGAAGGGACATAGCAGATAGAAGAATAGCCAGCTTCTAATTACACAATAATTAAGAGCTGAAACAATAATTAAGAACTATTGTTTCTACATTCACACAAGGTCAGATAGTTATTCTATAATGTCAGTTCATTCCCACTTTGGAGGCAAGAAAAGGAAGGAACTGGAGTAAATGAGACTTATTATAACAGGTGTTTTTAATATGGTATTTAACATTTGAATCATCAGCCACACCTCTGCAAAATCCAAAACAGACTTAAAACAATTCTTTTTTATACAATAGTTCTCAAATATACACTCAAGCAGAAATAAGCAGTAGCCACTGACATTTTTCTGGAAATATGCATTTGCTTTTTATTGTATTTTAATTACCCTTCATCACTATTTCCATCTCTGACCCCACTTCTCTCCACCTTTCTACTACCACCACTACCACTCCTCAGTATTTTTTGGCATCCACCTCCAGACACTTTTCCACAGAACTTTACTCTTTCCTTTTTATCCTATGGAAACACAAACCATCACTTTGATGAATATTGTCTATGCAACAATAACACATTACATAAAAGAGCAACAAAATGGACAGAACTTGTGAATACACCAGCTGTACTTTTCAATGCAGACATTTACAAAATGGCTGACAAAAATACAGATAATAAAATCAACCAATCAGATAGTTACTCTATAATGTCAGTTTATTCTACATAAAGATCACAAACAAAATTTAATAAACAAATTTTTAACTTTTATCCTTATTAATGAGCTTACTGACATTATTTTTGTTATTCAATTTTATCAATAAACTAAACAGTAATAATAAAAATTATTATTTAGTTCAGTAAATGCTATACTATCTTAAAGACATAGGCTTTATTTGGATTAATGTACCTGTTTATTATAGTATGGTCATGTCTGATTATGTTGTCCTTTAGGATCTGCCTTCTGCTGCAATATATTATACACATTTCTCTGAAATTGCATTGGTTTTTATTTACTTAATTTATCCCTTTGCATTCATGCCACTTAAATTGTATTACTGCTAAACAGAATAGTTTTCATGACCTGCACAAATTTAATATAGAACTAGATTGTTATAAATGTTTAATGCTTTTAATAAGTCTTTTTTAATAAGTCCATGAAAGATTCAGTAAACATTACTCTTGAGATTCAATGCGTTTTTATATTAATGATGTTATAAGACCTTCAATAAGCACTAGTCTATAGATCTAATGTTTTTCTAAACTAAAAATGTCTCAGTATTATTATATAACAAACAATAAGGATTATTTATAGCAATTATCAACTGGTATTATTAAAAGAAATGGTTGAACCTCACTTATGGGCAACAGTCAAATTGCATTAAATAAACAAATTTAAACATTTGTTTTTTTTCTTTACAGAGACTTGGGAAAATAGATATGCATAGATTTTGTTTTTGAATTCATCATTATTTTTCTTTCTTTTTTTGTTGATCATGTTTTGACTGTTTGGATTGGATGATCACAACAGTTGGAACATAGCAGCAAAGAGACGATCAGAAGTAGATGAGAATAACAGAGGGTGTGGACACACTCATGGGGTGTTGTTTAAAGACAAAAATATTGTAAAAGTGTAGGTAAGATTACTATGATGAAAGGAATTGTCTGAGATCCATGATAATACTCAGGTGATATGGGAAGTGTGAAAAACCAGCAATGTGAGAAATGAATGAGGAGAGACAAGATAAAGAGGAAGGAAGGAAATTAAGTTGACAAGTGAGGAAATGCAAAAAAATGAATGAAGAACGAAATAATTGAATGAGGAAAAAAAATATTTGAAAAAAATAGATGCTGAAAGAGTTTGAATAACTAAAGAATAATAGAAAAAAAGAAATCAAGAATAAAGAAACAGAAATGAGGAGAAGGCAAATCATAAAAGTCAGCAAAGATAGATGAGGAGGAAGACAAAGCAAAATGAAGATAAAAGATAATAAAAAGAAATGAAAGAAAAAGAAAAAGCTAGTTTAGAGGAGGTATTTAAGACAAAAATCTAGTAATACTCCCACCCCAGCTTAGTGCAATTCTATTTAATAATTTTCTATAGAATATATTGATATGCAGTGATATTTCATCAAGAAAGTCTCTACCAGATGAGATACACAACAGGAATCCATAGCATAATGTTGAGGTTCAACATCATCATATATTTTAAAATTATTGCAGTCACAAT